TTATTCTCATTTAAATTCTAAGTATTTTCGTCATCTTATTTTCGTTGTGCGGTTCTCGCAGATAGCCGGTTCCTCTGGAAACTTAGGGTTTTCCCGAAGTTTCCTTATTTACGATTTATTTGACAGTAGGGTGAAATCGACTCCCACAGGTAGTGTAGACAGAATCGATCTCCAATGAAGTTTACCTCGAGCTTCTGCTGACTCTCAAGTATCTTGTCTATCAACTCCTCCAGTTTCGTATCTTGGGTGGGTGGGTGTGGATTTGAGTAGAAAGCACTTCCATATCTTCTGTTGTTGTTAGGGTTGCTGCTGCTGAAGTTGTTGGGCTTTTGGGAACTCTGGTTGAAGTTGCTTCTCTGGCCTCTGAAGTTTCTGTATCCTCCTTGGTTACCAGATCTCTGAAAACCAGCTCCGCTAATCCAGTTGACATCTTCTTCAACAATGTCTGAATCTTCCACTGAACAAATCTGCTTGTTTATGAGCTTCTGAATGTTTTCTAGCTGTGCTTGAACTTCATTGATGTACTCCTTCCCAGTGGATGATGTAGTCTGCGTCACAGAGTTCTTTGTGTTGTTGTTGGAAGCCAAGTTATCAATTAGCTTGCTAGCATTCTGTGGATTCCTGGTGGTGAAGTTGCCATCACTAGCTGTATCAAGGGCTCTCTTGAAATCTGGGCTGATGCCTCTGTAGAAAATGTAGAGCAGTTGCACTTTGTTGAATCTGTGGTGTGGGCAGTCTCGCTGGTAGGATTTGAATCTGTTCCAAGTATCCTTGAATGACTCTTCAGGGTCTTGGGTAAATGTAGCAATTTTCTTCCTCCAGTCTTCAGTGCGTGAATCATCAAAGAAATTGCGCAGGAAAGCGTGCTTGATGTCACTCCAGGTGGTAAGGGAACCTGGTGGTAGTTGTCTTAGCCACTGCAAAGCTTCTCCAGATAGAGAGTACTTGAAAAGATTGCAGAAAAGATAGTTTTGAGGGACTCCTTTTGCTTTGACTAGGGTTACAAGATCCTCAAACCTCTCCAGATGGTCCATAGGATCTTAATGAGGCAAACCACAGAAAGGGATTTGTCCAATAAGTGTGTAGTACTGCGGCTTGAGCTCAAAATCTCTTCTCTGAATAGCAAGAGGCAGGATGGCTGATCGGTTTGAATAGAACTGATCCGGACGGTTGAAGTCAGCCAAAGTTCTGGTCTCTTCTACAGGTTGAATGATGCCTGTAAGTGCAGTGTCTTCTTCAGTAATGGCCTCCTTCTGATCATTCAGCTTCTGACCTGCTGCATTTCGCAGGTGACCATCTGGATCACGCAGGTCTCCATTCTCATCGGGTATGAGAATCATAGTCGCTACCATGTCTCGCCGGTTAGTATCGATCGTGTAGGGTGAGGTGTATCGATCGATGTCAAGTGAAAGGTATTGGTCGACGAACGGTTGTTGATGTCGATCGATGAGGTGGTGTGGGTATCGGTCAACGAACGGTTGTTGATGTCGATCGATGGGATGGTGAGGGAATCGGTCGATGAACGGTTGTTGATCGTCGATAGAGAGGTGTTGGTATCGATCGATGTGGAGCGTAGGTCTTTGCGGATGCTACGTTCCAGATTGTTGGGATCTTCTGAGTAGAAAAGTTGCTTGTCCTTGTTGCTTCTAGTACTGCTGGGCATGTACCTGAAAAATACAAAAAGAAAAAAGAAAATTTTTGTTTCAAAAGATTGGAATATAAAAAGTAACAAATAACCTAGACTGAATCATATTAAATCTATAGTAATCTTAGTTCCCCGGCAACGGCGCCTAATTTGATATCACTCAAATGTTTAACCCTAAGGAGTGAATTACTCTCTCAAATAAGAGGTTCAATCGTAGTACTTAGGGATCGATTCCACAAGGAACTAGAGTCACAAAAGATATAATCCTAAGTGATTAAGCTAGGTTGATTAGGTTTAAAACAATAAATAAAAGTTAGTTGCTAAGGAAAATGGTTTTTGGGGTTTAAAACAATAAAAGAAAGTAGCTAGATTCAATGTTACTATTCAGAAAATCAGGATTATAAATCTATGGATGTCTTAACGAATTGCTTGCAAATATATGAGAACTTCAATCCTTAGACAAATCTATAGCTGTCGCTAGTTAGACTCGTCCATTTATCTGATTGCCGACAGTATCGATCGATGTTGCTATCGCAATGTCGATCGATATGTTTTTTGCCGTCGATCGATTACTTTATAGGAGTATCGATCGATATAGCATCGGATCGAATTGAAACTGTGTTCACCCGAGAATTTCTATTAGACCGCCTATCGCACGTGCCTAATAGAGTCTGATCTTAGCCAAATGATTTCAGGATAATGACTAATAGATTAGTCACTCCATAATCATACTTCTATGTAGCTAATCTAGAGTAAGCATTAGGGTTCATTTGGATAATGAATATAACAACTCAACACTCCATAGTTGGGCCTAATCCCTCATAACTATTTGAACCCTAAATCTAACAAATGAATCTACTCAGACATGGCCAAGTGATGCATAGCAAAAGAATAAGATGAAAAGAAAATACTTTATTGCTAAGTATAGAACATAATACAAAACTAAAACTCTTTATTTTCTCTGATTGTCTCTCTAGGGCTCATAGGCATAACTATAAATATGAGTACAATTAGGTTAAAAACTTGTCAGGGGCAATCTTTTAATTTGGTGAGAACTTGGGCTTCAAGTTGGCCAAGTAAATCTTGCTCATCACGCTCTGTATCGATCGATGGTACATGGTGTACATCGATCGATGGAGTATCTCGACTTCAACTTCTACAGAAGCGTCATCGATCGATTACACAAGGTGTGTATCGATCGATATGTGTCTTTCATTGTCGGATCTTCATAATCATCTTGGAAAACTCTCCTTTAAGCTCCATAAGGCACCTAAATCATCACTTTACTATAAAATGTTCCTGAACCTGAAAACATACCTAATAAACTCCAAAACATAGATAATTATCATAAAAACATATCAATACCATGACAAAAAACGGGTCAAAATCATGGTATATCAGCTACCAGCACACCATACATCCCTGTGGAGCTAGCCCTTAACCCCATCTGCTGAACCAGCTTCTCAGATACGAAGTTATGCGAGGCTCCGCTATCAATGAGCACCACCAACTCTGTTGCCGCAATCAAACCCCTAAACTTCCTGGTACGCGGAGAAGTCAACCCCACCACCGAATTGATGGAAACCTCAGCTACCATGGCTTCTACTGTTCATCTTCTTCCTCCTCCAGTTCACAAGGCTCATCCAATAACTCTTCCTCCACTCCATTCGTATGGAGAATCAAAACCGTCAGCTGCGCCTTTGGGCAAGGGTGGTTAGGATGAAACTTTTCATCGCACTTCAAACACAAGCCCTCCGCCTTCCATTTCTCCACCTCCATCGGCGTGAGCCTTCAAAACGGTGGCTTCAGTCTCCCGTGTGAAGGATGACCACGAATCCCATTTCCGCGTTGATTGGTATTTCATGGGCCAGTTTGGTGTTGGGCCTTCGTAGTCTGTCGGGCCGGTGTCGTACTTGAACTTTTGGGTTTACTAGAGGCCTGCTGTCCCCCATAACTGGGCTTGAGCGCCTTAGGCCCATCAGTTACCTCGTCACTAGACCACTCCTCTACCTTTTTCGCCGTCTTATCATCTGGTTAAGGTTCCGGGGATCAAACATCTTCATTCCGGCTCGGATTTTCGAACGCAACCCATTAGAGTAAGCGATCTCCAGCACCGAATCATCGATGTCTAGAGCATGAGATGCTAACCCAATGAAATCGCGGTTGAAATCTTTCACCGTTCCTTCTTTCCGGAGTGTTAACAACCTCTCCGTGGCTGTGAAGTCGGTCATCGTCGAGTATTGCTCGAGTACCCGATGCTTAAGCTGGCCCCAGTTTCGGAATGGGTTTTGACTCCTCTCCCAACGGTACCACAACAAAGCATCACCGGTGAAATTCATCCTCACGACACGCATCCTCTCTTCCTCCGTAAGCTCGCCCAAATCAAAATATTTTTCCACCCTCAAAATCCAGCTCTCCGCATCCTCCCCATCAAACGTCGGCAACTCCATCCGTCGGATCTTCTGTTTCCAAGGTGGGAACTCGTCACGATAACCGGACCCTTGACCCGAACCTCCCCTACTGGAGTACCGATCCTCCCGTTCCCTCATCGACGAAGTAAACAACGATGGTGCGCGTCGCTCACCTCCGACGTTCATTCCGCTTCCGATCATCGTGTCGGACACGTCTTCTTCCCCTACATGTCCCTTCCCTTTTTCCATCACCCGAGTTTTAAGTTTCTCTTCGTCGCGTTCTCTTTTCTCATGATCCCAACGACTCATCATGAGTGTCATTTGTTGTCTCATCTCGTCCATCGACAGTTTCAACTCACCCACGTCGTTCATCCCTTGTTGGAAAGACGCGATCCTGCTCGTCTGTTGTTCCAACGTCAGATCTACGTCAGATTTTTTGGAGGCATTTTTCCCAGATTCGAGGGCTCTGATACCAATTTGATACGGTTTGGTTGTATCAAACGTGTAAAACAGAATGAAAAAGAGAAATACAAAGGATTTATTGATCAAAATAGAGAAGTACAACGAGTTTTTCTTAGGAGTTTCTCACTCTCCTTCATGAAAATACTGTCATACAACTCGCTACCTATCACTCTCCTCCTCTCTCCATACTTATACTACCCGTACCACTTGTTGATCACGTCCTCATGCTCTAGCGATGACCAACAACATCACATTCCTTGTTGATGACTTAGCACCCAAACCGTTATTCCTTTATACCCTTAAAGCAACTCCCATCAGTACCAACACTCATGGGCCCAAATCGAATCCTTTCTTCCTTCATATTCCCTTTTGGGCTCTTCGCTTGTAACGATACAAGATCGGAGGCCTAACTGCATCATACGTATCAGACGTTTATGAACAAAGGATAGAGAATGAGTTCTGGTACTCGCTGCTACCAACAGACCATTTGACCTTGACGAAGCTGTTATTAGACGGCTTCCCCGGAGGTAAACCTACATTGTCTGTCTCTTATCATAGATGATTCTTCATGTTTTAACTATTGCTTAATACATACTTCTATGTTTCAGATTGATGGTGAATCTTCCAGATGCAACGAACAGATCAAAGATCTTGAGTGTTATTCTTTCTAAAGAAGAAATAGCACCTGATGTTGATTTAGAAGCGATTGCTAATATGACAGATGGTTACTCAGGAAGTGACTTAAAGGTATCTACTCATCTCTCTCACACATTGGTTCTCAGTGTCCTTGGTTTGTGTAAGCTCACATTCTCTCATTTAGTTTGCAGAATCTTTTGTACTAAAAAAAACATGATCTCAAAGTTTTATTTTATATCGAACAATTTCTCCACTACTGCATGCACATGTTATTCAAGGCTTTGGCCTACAGCCACCAGGTGGCACCAGTCCATCAGCAGTGTCGAACTCAAAGGTTCTCTGTTTTTATTCGTCTGATCATATTTTTAAGTATTTGTTGTATGAGTTTCATAATCATGTGTTTTCTCTACACCAGGCATGGAAAGCAGTGAGTTGAGGTATGAATTATGATCATGCATTTAGGTAATAAGTTATTTTGGATTACTGGCTCTATTTTCTTTTGGGACACATCCATGGTGATTTTAACCGAGGCCAGGGGCGTTATGTTATGGTACTATGATAGAAGGTAACATGCTCTTTCGAGAAGCTTCTTTGGTAAATTTCGAAGTTCCTATGACGAATTTAAGTGATCTTTTACTTCATGGTGATGCACGGCGTATTGATAATTTGAGATGTGATCATTTGTTTTTGTTTATAGCAAGTAAGCTAAACCAAGTGTATGGATATCATACTCTCTTGGATATCCGGCTTTGTAATGTTTTCAAAAATAGGTCAATGGTGCACATAATATAAAAGTAAACATTCTCTTTCTTCTTAGACTATGGCATCAAAAGACATCCTCAACGCTAACGCAACACATATGATCCACATCATTACACACAACAGAAATGCTTTAACCATTTGACGAGTATTAAAGCAATGTGGGACTTCATCCAAGAAAGGATTTCATCAGCGTAACATACTTTTAAAAATGTTTTGTGCATGTAACTATATGAGCCTTCTTTTGCCATGCAAATTCTAAATCTTTTGATTTCAGGCCAAAAAATAATACAGATCAACATTTTGAAGATATCACTGGCTATGTACACAATCGTAACACTCTCCCTCAACATTCAGGCGACAAAGTTACTGTTCTTAGTTATCGTTTTTAATCAAAGCCTCCCATTATGTGTTTAGCACAAGAAGTTTAGAATATTTACCATGTTCTGTGATACAAAAATAAAATATTTTTGTTCTAAAAGACTAAAACAGTAACCTAAATTCATTTTAGTGATAAGATTTGCTCATATAAAGACAAAATCTTTATGGGTGTCTTGGGAAAAGCTATGTAAACCCAAAGAACAGGGAGGTCTTGGGTTTCACGACATTGGTCGTTTCAATCAAGCTTTGCTCGGAAAACAAGCTTGGCGAATATGGAGTAATCCTGATTCTTTGGTTTTTCGGATTCTTCAAGGTAAATACTTCAAGAATGGAAATTTTCTTGAATGCGGAATGGGAACTCGTCCGTCTTACGCATGGAGAAGTATTATGCATGGTAGAGAGTTACTTAAAAAGGGTTTGTACCGTCATATTGGCAATGGGGCTGATACGAATGTGTGGGCGGAAAACTGGATTATTGACACCATTCCTAGGCCGGCAATGTACCGTGAGAATAGCTCAATAGATTTAACACTTAAAGTGTCAGATTTATTATTACAGGGGTCTTCACAATGGAATATTAATTTGTTGCGCGATACTTTCACGCCACAAGATGTTCAGAGGATTTTACTGTTGAAACCACCTTTGGTAATTAATGATTCGACCAAATGGGGGTATACACCGAGCGGAACATACTCGACTCGCAGTGGGTACAAATTTTTAGAGGACTTAATTGACTTTGATCAACCTCAAAGACCCTCTTTATCTATAATTGAAAAACAAGTATGGAGAGATTTGTGGAAAACCAAAGCCCCACCAAAAATAAAACATTTTATGTGGCGTGCTTTATCGGGTGCGTTGGCTGTCAAGCAACGTTTAAACACTCGGGGTATTCCGGTTGATCCAACATGCTCTGTTTGTGGTAATAATACTGAGAGTATATGTCATGTTCTTTTTACATGTGCTAAAGCTCGGGCCACATGGGAGCAGTCTAATTTCCCACTTCCTGTAGGAGGTTTCTCTCGGACCTCTACCTTTCTAAATTTTGTGCACCTGATCAAAATTGGTAAAAACTCATCTACGGATGTACATATAAGAAAAGTTTTTCCATGGTTGTTGTGGGAAATTTGGAAAGCTAGGAACGCTTATCTTTTTGAAAACAAGGTTCTGGACCCATCTTTTATCACCAAAAAGGCCTATGAAGAAGAATCTACTTGGTGTGATACATTCACAAGCAAGATGGATGGAGTTGGGGATGATAAAACAGAAGAGATACGATGGATACATCCCCCCAATGGTTCCCTGAAATGTAATGTGGGTTGCTCATGGGTAAACTCAAATCAACTAAGTGGAGCTTCATGGATTGTTCGGGATGCAAATGGACATACAATCATCCATAGTCGTCGTGCCTACTCTTGTATGCGCACAAAGACAGAGGCAGACTTATGGGCGCTTTTTTGGGCGGTGGAGTGTCTACATAACTTACATTTCTCAAATGTTATCTTTGAGACATCGTCGGTTTGCCTGCGAGATTTCCTCACAAAGCCGGAAGAGCATCCTAACTTCAGCCATCTCCGACACGACATATCTTTTCTTCTTGCAAGGATAGATTCTTGGAGCCTCGATCACGCACTTCCGGAAAGAAATGAAGCTGCATCGTCAATTGCTGTTAGTGTCACCCGAGATTTCGCCCCCAATCATACATCGCCCGAGATGCACCGGTATGGCTGCAGCATTTACTCACTTTGGAAGCTCAACAATAATGGTAGTTGGTGAGGATTTTTTTCCTTTTCCTTTGCCTGTACGGTGTCTATTGACATCTTACTTTTGCTTTTTATTTCTTGCTTTGTATCACAACGATTATTTCTATATGTACAAGTGTTAAAAAAAAAAAGACAAAATCTTTATTCAACATTGCTTATGAAGTTACAAACGTGTAACACCCGATATCTCAAAATAATATACTTAATTGATAATTACTGAAAAAATTGGACTTAATAATAATACTTAAAGTAAACATATTTCATCTTACATAAAAGTCCAATACATAACTCGGCCCGAGGCCCAATACACAACATTCATAATAAAGTCAACAACATAAACCGAAAATCTGAAATACGAAATAACATAAACGATAAAAGTCGGAAGGCTTATAAGCCTAGTAACGATAGAATAAGATAGAATACGATAGAAGCCCAAAAGCCCAATACAACCGATCCGATATGGTCACTCTTGCTGATCAGTCTCACCTGCAAGGGGAAGAAAGAGGGGTGAGCAACAGAGGAGTCGCTCAATGAGGTATGGGATGCTACCCCGAAGTCCGTAGACCCATACATAGCACTCCGAATAAATATAATTTAATTCTAATATGTACAAACACGGTACCTAAAGTACCCAAGCAAACAAACAATGGTCCTAGCGAGGCGCGCACTCGCCGCCCACTAACGGGCCAAAAATAACACTTCCCACACTGGGGTATAACAACTCGAGATAGTGCTCGGACACCGCCCGTAGACATTTTGTCTATGCTTCCAGGTTACGGTCCAGCCGGCCGACTATAGCTGGCCGTAACCGCTCATACAATCCGGCATACAGAAGTCCGTTTCTGTACCCGGCCAAACAATTCAAGCTAATTAGTTTACATTTAGCGAAGCAATCAATGTTGAACCATCTAACACCCTAGTTCCGGATTAAGCAAAGAACCTAGACACTAAACAATCAATGACAGACGAAACATAATAGAAGTAAATTATATTTATTTAAAGTTCTAAGTCGCGTACGAATTGTTTGGAAGTATACCCTCACCTTAGCAACTTGGAGAAGTGGTCGCTATGAACTTCATCTGCTCAAATAGATCTCAAATCTGAAATCAGATCAAAATTTCTAGTCGGAATGACCTTCGAACGGTTTAAAACGGTTTTCGGGCGGATTGGTAAAAAAGTCAACTTTTTGACACATCATCACGGCTTTGGTAATGTTAAGCTTCTCCTTCAACTGTTGATATCACTCAAATATTTTAACCCTAAGGAGTGAATTACTCTCTCAAATAAGAGGTTCAGTTGTAGTACTTTGGGATCGAATCCACAGGAAACTGAGGAACACAAAAGATGTAATCCTAAAAGATTATGCTACAGATGTTTTAGTAAGTTTCTTGCAAGATATATAAGAACTTCGATTCTTAGACAGATCTAATACCAGTCGCTATATAGACTTGTCCATTGATCTTACTGCTGGCAATATCTGAGTATCGATCGATATAGCATAAGATCGAATTGAAACTGTGTTCACCAAGATCATAGACCGGCTCTCGCATATCCCTAGAGGATCTAAGCTTATGCCAAATTATTTCAGGATAATGATTAACAAGTTAAATCACTCTATGATCATACTCTAGTTAGCTACTCTAGAGTAAGCATTAGGGTTCATCTGGATAATGAATATCACAACTCAACATTCCATAGTTGGGGCTAATCCTTCATAAATATTTGAACCCTAAATCTAACAAATGAATCTACTCAGACATGGCTAAGTGATTCATAGCAGCAAGGTAATATTAGAAATTCATAAGATTAGAAGATTGAACTCTTGGTTCTTTGGAACAACAAATCTCTTTGTGTGTTTCTTCTAAATCTAGAATTCTATAACCTTTGAGAATTAAGATGAAAGGAATACTTTATTTCTAAGTATAAAATAGTATCAAAAGCATACAAAACACAAGAAAACTTAAAACATAAAAGAGAATGCTTTTCCAAAGAAAGCGTCACCGGTGACAAACGTGTAACACCCGATCTCTCAAAATAATATACTTAATTGATAATTACTGAAAACATTGGACTTAGTAATAATACTTAAAGTAAACATATTTCATCTTACATAAAAGTCCAATACATAAGCCGGCCCGAGGCCCAATACACAACATCCATAATAACGTCAACAACATAAACCGAAAATCTGAAATACGAAATAACATAAGCGATAAAAGTCGGAAGGCTTATAAGCCTAGTAACGATAAAATAAAATAGAATACGATAGAAGCCCAAAGCCCAATAGCACCGGTTCGATATGGTCACTCTTGCTGATCGGTCTCACCTGCAAGGGGAAGAAAGAGGGGTGAGCAACAGGGGAGTCGTTTAGTGAGGTATGGTATACTACCCCGAACTCCGTAGACCCAGACATAGCACTCCAAATAAATATAATTTAATTCTAATATGTACAAACACGGTACCTAACGTACCCAAGCAAACAAACAATGGTCCTAGCGAGGCGCGCACTCGCCGCCCACTAACTGGCCAAAAATAA